GAGGAGGGGATCGAACCCCCACCCCTCACAAATCCCTTTTTTTTTTTTTTTTAAATCATAGGAAAAGATCGGGGGATGGCGATCTTTGTGTAATGCCACGTAGGAGGCCACTGATCAGTCGAGGAGGGGATCGAACCCCCACCCCCCACAAATCCCTGTTTTTTTTTTCTTTGAAATCATAGGAAAAGGCCGGGGGATGGCGATTTTTGTGTAATGCCACGTAGGAGGCCACGGGCCGTACATTTGGAGGGGTGCAGCGTTGTCAGACGCTGGACCCTCGTCCACAGGCCGTATACCCCAGAGGGGTCATGCGTTTCTGAAACGCTGAAACGCTGGACCCCCAAACAAAACACGACCGGKGGGCGGGGGTCCAACGTTTGTCAAACGTTGTACCCCCGCCAATGCATCGGTCGGTAGGCGAGGGGTCCAGCGACAAACGCTGGACCCCCGTCAATGCATCGGCCGGTAGGCGGGGGGTCCAGCGTTTGATAAACGCTGGACCCCTGCCAATGCATCGGCCGGTAGGCGGGGGGTCGAGCGTTTGACAAACGCAAGACCCCCGCCCACTGGCACGGGCCGTGCTTTTGCAGGGTCCAGATGAAGGACAAACGTTGGACCCCCACCAATGGCATGGCCCGTGGACGGGGGTCGAGCGTTTGTCGAACGTTGCCCCCCCCCGCATACCAGCCGACGCATTGACGGCTTTCCAGCGTTTGACTAACGCTGGAACCCTACCAATGGGTCGGCTGGCAGGCGGGGGGGGCAGCGTTCGACAAACGCTGGACCCCCCGCCTGCCGGCCGAGGCACTGGCGGGGGTCCAGCGTTTGTCAAACGCTGGACCCCTCCATCAGCACATGCCGGCGCCGGGGTCCGCCGTTTGTTAAACGTTGTGCCCCCCCCGGCCCACCGGCAGTGCTTTTGGAAGGGGGTCCGGCGTTTGACAAACGCTAGACCCTCGCCGCCTCCTTGTGCAAGGTTGGGGTCCAAACTCTTGGGGGCTCTACTTCTTGTGCTGCCGGCATGTGCCTTGCGATTGCTTCTGTTGATGCAATGTCCCATCTTGTGCTACGGGAGATAGAGATAGAGATAGGTGACATTAATGCATCCCTCGTCATTTTTCTTATGGATATCTCATCCAGGTAGAGGTCGTAAGGGTCCGAATGATGCGGATAAGAGGTACAACAACAGGTCGAAACTGTATCGCGACAAGGCGTGGGCTCTCGACTGGGTCGGAGTGGCCGGCGAGTCCAAGTGCGGTGCTGCTGTGTTTCTGACGGAGGACGAAGGGGCGACCTAGTACTGTTGTGGTGGCATCATCAGGTCTGAAATTGACAAGGCAACGGCGGAGAAGGGCAAGGTCGATGAGCGAGAATTGAGGAAGTTCTTCCTCACTTCGGTGTACGATGAGCAGGGTACCGACTGGGTCAAGACTGACCATAAGGTCAGCCTCGATCTTGCTCTGTTCAAGGGGTATGGTCAGAAGGCATTCGCTACGAAAGCCTTCGGCGGCAACCGAGATGGGAATGCCTTGAAGATGCTCTTTCCCATTGAATTCCTCAGCAAGACGAACGGGTATAGGGAAAGTGGTCAATTCCCGATGGTCGCCGCTGGTCACCAGCTCTCGTTACCTCTTGTCCCGTTCGATGCTCCTGTCGAGAGTCTCGCAGGCTTATCAACGTGCTCTAGTGATCGACGGCAGGTCGTGTCGACACCACAACAACCTGCCGGTGGGAAGCAGAAAGTCATTACTTACCAGAGGCGTTCGGGCGGTAGTCCATCGGGAAACCTTCCGAAGACGAAGAGGCTCGCCAGACCTCCTTCGGATCTTCCTGGAAGCTCGTGTTCTGGTGCCATCTCGCGCTCCCGGGACACCGCTCAACGTGGAATGGGCGAGGAGTTGGACGAAGAAACGGGAGAGGACGAACGGGTTCACCAATTGCAATCGCGGTTGTTAGCGACACCTCAGCACATCCAGGGCGAAGGCTCTTACGATGTGAATGTGGGGCGGGAAGGTGGTGGAGGTGCCGAAGCCCAGGTGAGGGACGATGGGGAATACGACGAGGATGAAGGGGAGTGTGGTACTAGAGACCGCCGAGAATAGGTTGGAGGAGGGGCAGACCATATGGAGTGGGAAAAGGTTGCGACAGGCGGTGGGGTGGGTGGTGGTGCTGTGCGTGGTTCGAAAATGGGAGACGAGGAATTGGAAGACGAAGGAGAAGACGCGGATGCTTCCGCGGGGCTTGCTTCCAAGGGGAGGGGAAAATGCACTGCACAATCGTCGCCGAAGCCTGCTGCGCCTAAGAAACAGGCTCGAATAAAAGCTGTGGACGAAGCTCGGGTCGCCTTGGATGCATCTCAAGGGACGCTTGGTGAGGTCGATGTGAAATGCAAACCAAGTGCTCGGATTCGCAAAACGTCACAACCCAAGAAACCCGTGCGGCCATCAAGGCGTTAGAAATCGGACGACTCCAGTGACGATGCTGAAGGCGTGGCCCCTCGCTTGCTCTCCCTCCCTGACGACGACGAGCAGGAGACGAAGAAACCCAGTGCGGTCAACATGACGCAGTGCTTCCTCCTCGAGTACGACGACGACGACAAAAAGAGAAGAGACCCGCCTAGGGTGGTGATTGACGTCGTGCAGATTCTTCCAATTCCGGTGGGAGATATAACCTTCAACCAGCGATCGCTGAACTTGGCCATCTTTGCAGGGATCGATGCGGCAATCGAGGCATCAAATCGTCCAAGGTCCGCGGATGATCCGGCCCCGTGGGATCCACCGGAGTTGTTGCTGGCTCCGATTATGCCATCGCTTGAGCATCCGGACAACCAAGGGACACAAGTCCTTCCGCAGGACTTCGATTCCGATAGGGCAGACGAGTATTTCTATTACCCGGTTGCCGGTCAACATACTTCCGAAGCTATGAAAAGAGCAGTGGAGAGGAAATTTGAAGCCGTTGAGGTGTTCGGCTTTCGGAATTATGATCGTGTACGGATCATTTATTTCGACGACGACCACACGAACAAGTACGTGTATGTTTCGACATACGACAACACGAGAGTTGACCATGCTATGTTGTCGTCGTTCCACCAAGCCTGCCAGGACATCAGAGGATTTTAGGACTTGAAGAAACGGATCGGGCCAGTAGGGAACGTGTCCAAAGGGGATCCCACCGGTGTGGCGCACCAGGAAGAGTGGAGGAAATTTTTGAGACTTTGCATGGGGAAGGCATGTGAAAAATCGCTGTGGACGGAGTCTTTGTCTCCGAAGTGGCAAACGGACTGGACGAACAGAATGAGGGGATACGTGAATGTCGCCACATGCAAGGACGGGATATGGCCATTGGTAAAGGAGTTTTTTCAGAAGTTTGAGGCGGGGGAGTTGCCGCTACATGACAACAAATGCCCGAAGGACTTGCCTGGGAAGCAGGAAGAGCGGTTGTCGGGCCAATTCACTGAAGAGGTGCAGGGGAAGAAGGAGGTGTTCCATTGCATAGCGGCTAGGGACGGGGGACCGAACGCTATGGTGTCCTTCAAAGATCTCGTTCCGTCAAACTTCAAATGTTTTGGAGATATGACGGCACGAGAGAAAAAAATTGCATTGCGGTTGATGATAGATAAGAAAGTCATCGCCACTACTAGACTGGTTCCTCCTGGGAAGTTGAACATGACCAACCTCCTCGACATCATAATGCGCGAGAGGTACATGATGCGTATGTTCAACTACATCGTTTTCAAATCGGAGAACAGAGAGGCGAAAGAATGGAAGGACGGGAACTTTTTCGACTATGAAAACGTGGAGGAGAGGTTTGGCGTTAAGGCAGGCGAATGGGATGAGGAAAGGGATAGGATCCCTTTGGAATACGTCCGGAGGGTTCTGAAAAGACTCGGCGGAGAGCAAGAGGAAAAAAACCTGAAAGGAGCTGGTCCAAAGGCCACGGAGGCGTTGTACAGGGACGCGCGATTCCACTTCAAGTACTTCGTGTACCACGCCATAGGGAAAGTGGACTTGCGGACAACTGAGTTGCGACGGTTGAAGAACGCTGCGCTTCATCTGTGCTGGGAGAAGAAAGGGCGACGGTCGACATTGCTGCCGGTCAACATGCACCCAAAGGAGTTGCTGCTCGCGGCCGACAAAATTGTGACTGCAGCCACGAACTTGAATTGCAAGGCCGCCATCCTCGATCTCGCAAACCCGAAGGACTGCCTTGCATGGTCGCCGACCGATTTCGATGCTCTGCACAAAATGATGTCGAAATTGTGCGGCAGTAATTGAATTCTGATTGTTTTTGCCCCACAAAAACAACAAAAGATCGTCATGCGCAACTATACAACTGGGACGACGTAGAGGTGATACCTGGTACTTGGAAACGTTATCTCGTTGGGACGGCTGGCAGCAAGTACGGAAACTTGCAAGCGGACTACAAGGACACGATGGTGGTCGTCCTGCATGCCGAGGGCGGCGACCTCAGGAAGGTCACGAGGATCCCTAAGTTGGAGGCGGAGCTAGTGGAGCTTCATGTTGAGGAGGAAAAGTTCAAGAGGTGCACAACAAAGCACGGCGGCGATGAAGGAAACGAACGAGAGGAATATGGGCGGTGGGAACGACATCCGACACGGATGCACAAACTATGTAGTTCATTTTTGCACGAGGATCAGGGGGTGTTACTTATCGGAAAGCCACATGCTGGACTTGTGTGGGAGCTTCTGCGTGCGGGCTATCATGCTTTTGCATGCGACGGGTCATCCAAAGACATCTCGTACTTGACGACGGTCATCGACATTCTTGGGAAGGACGCAAGAAACGATTGCACGGTTGAGAGGTAGAAGACGGCGCATCGCCCGGATTGAGATATGTACCACAAGCTGGACAAGAAGAGAAACAAGATGTGGGACTATCTTTTCTAAGGCCAACCCAAATCGCCATTCGAGAATGACTACATAGTTCGCAGGTGGGTGTGTTTGCAATGTTCGTGGCGAGATGTGAACAAATGAGGTTTGCAACCAATCAGGTTACGCTGTCGTACGATGAGTACAACAAAATCGCCAAGACAACCGATGCATGGAATCCGATCGGGAGCGACGAGAAGACCGAAACATCGAACCTTGAAATCGAAGAGTGAGTGAAATGTTTGCGAGAGGGAATGCAGAGTGTGCCATCATGCAGCGTGCCGATCGAGAATCGAGAAGAAGGTCGCACGAAATCGGGAGGTGCGAGCAGTCCAACGCGTGATGTGACCGACAGGGCGAGTTCCATTGAACAGATGCAAACGGATTCACCTACACCCCTCCAAGCACTTGAGAATGCATTGATTCATGGCAATCGTCACGGACTCCATGGGAGGCATCGCACTCTTCGAGGAAACACGGAACACAACATGATGGCAGACGACGATGAGGATGACTTGGCGGTTCCATATGCCCTTCCAAGGCTGATGCTTGGTGATGATATTCCCGATCACATTGTGCAGGCCAGTGAACAGCCGTACTTCATTGAAGACAAGGTGCCAAAAACGACATCTGAGAAGTGGGGACACCACATTTTATGGCACACAGACGTATTCGAGCCATGCATTTTCAAGGGGGAGTGGATGATGGTACTGCATCTAACATCAGGATGGAAAGTCAAAGCCAGACTTGCAGAAGTACCGTGGATGAAAGTGACGAAGAGCGAAATCGTATTCCGTGTCAAGTGTGAAAACGATGGAGCGGACGAGGCGGCTATTGAGGAGAAGGCTCAATTGCTATTCCATTCTCTACACGCCAGCAATCAGCTGGAATACAAACACAAGTTCTATGATTTGCCGTCAAGTCGGTCATACAAGACCATCGATTGGAAGATCGAACTTCCTGCATGTCAAGGCATCGAGACAATCCAGTTGGGATGCTCACAGCTTGGGGGTCAGTCGGCGACGCACTTTGCTGCCAGTGTCGGGGAAGCGATGAGTCAAACTAATGTCAAGATAATGGGGGTGGACAAGGGAACACGGAATGTCGATAAAGATCCTTCGAACGTTGCGCCGTACGAGCCTCCTCTATTAACTCAGGCGGAAAACCAGAGTGCATCGCAAATGGAGAGACCCACTCCTTCCACAAACATGGCAGTTTCAGATCAAATGCAACAAGGTGGGTATGCAGAACATGCGAGTGAGGTGCAAAAAGATTCCGATGAGATGATGAAACAGTTGGATGAGGCGGAGAAGTATGGGAAAAGGAACTTGAGGGATCAACCACATCCCAGACGACGAGTAATTGTATATCGTTAAGCGATGAAGGGATAGACGTATATGTAGAGAGGCATGATGACAATGAGGATGCAAGGGATAATGTCGATGAACAGAAGGAAGTGGATGACAGAGGTCCACCTGCGAGATGGTCGAAAAGATAAATAAAGAAAAAACACTCGGTTAACGTGTAGGTATATGCAGAGGTTGAGTCCAGGTTGGCGTAACACTCTGTGTATGTGTGTTAGTGCTTGTACGCAACTCGGATAAATATTTTAGGCGATAGACGTGTGATATAATAATTAATTCTGCAGTGAATTGGAGAGGACCTCTCTCTCTCTCTCTCTCTCTCTCTCTCTCTCTCTCTCTCTCTCTCTCTCTCTCTCTCTCTCTCTCTCTCTNTCTCTCTCTCTCTCTCTCTCTCTCTCTCTCTCTCTCTCTCTCTCTTCGTCTCCCTTTCCCTATCTATCTATCTATCTCTATCTGTATTTCTCGATCGACTGATCGATCGATGAATCTAAAGAAAGTGTGATTAAAAACGAGGAATGTCATAAATATACGTGCAGTATGTCATAAAACACTGGTAATGTGGTCGATGAATGTAATGAAGAGATGTCATTGGTAATGGAGTTTTTTTAAAACTCGCTCGTTTAAGATAACTCCGATTTTATGCGGTTCATGAATATGAAGGAAGTACATGAAAAAAAAAAGAATGGAGCGTATTGGTTTTAACTACGTAAATTACTAGTTATGATAAGCACCCCACTCTTTTAAGGTAATCCATACTACGCATTACTACAACAAATAGAATGCAATGAACATGACTACAACTGGACGTATTGAAACATTAGCTCACATAAAGATATGGCGCGTTGTCATGTGCAGCGCAAACGACAATGGAGGATATCCGGAGGTGCAAAAAAAGATGGACCGTCCACTTGGCAACAACAAATTTGACAGAAAAAGAGATGTCGGCCCTCACGCGTTTGCGAGTGAAACTTGGGGATAGCGGCGTCATAGCAAGTTCATTCAACAAAGACACAAAAGAATAATTAACGATGACAGTCGGATATTTTAGTTTGCTAATGATAGAAAAAAAGTGGTTGAACGACCAGATAGTGAACTTTTATCTTAATGTTGTCCAACTGGACAATGAATGTCGTGTGAAGCACCATAATTGCGATTTGAAGAACGAAAACGTCGTTAGAATAGAAAAGGGGCGCATTCCTACAATAGCAGTTTTAAGCTTGTTGTTTTTCGCAAAACTATTTGATAGCGATATGAAGTTCGATTATGATCGTGTTCGTAGATGGTTCACAGAGGCCGTGATTAGCGACATGGATTTGATCATTGCACCTTATCACGTCGCGCAAAACCAACATTGGACACTCGTAGTGGCAGACCTCAAGCGTATGAAAATTGAGTACTACGATTCGGTGACGCTGGATGTAGAACTCGCGGCGAAGGTGACAGGGGTGTTCGCAAAATATCTGTACATGAGGTCGGTCGAACAAGGTCAAGAAATTGACACAAAAAACTTCAACCACATATGGGAAGTGGAAGGCATTCGAAAGCAGCGCGACTTCAACGAATGCGGTGTGTTTATGCTGACATATGCATCACTATTGGCGAGAGGTTTTCTTCCACCTTTCACGTTCACATCGGATGACACAAAGAAAATACGATGCCGGAATGCTTTCGACGTAGCTGTTGTGGAGTAGACGATTTTGTTTCATTTTCAGTATAAACTTTCAAACACATAAAATGAACATGTACTGATCAAGACTTAGATTTGATAAAGCTGGGGAAGACTTTGTAAGTGTAACGAGGATTAATTATGCGGTTCACGATGAATGTAACTGGTCATGCAATAAGGACATCTTATGAAAGGTCATCTTATCTCTTATATTCGAGGCTCCTCTAGTCCTTACCTCTCACCCCTCACCCCTTACCCCTTGCCCTTTACCCCTCACCCCCCCCCCCCCTTACCCCCCCCCCTTACCCTGTCTCTTATACACATCTAGATGTGTATAAGAGACAGGCCTTAACCCTTACCCCCTACCCCTTACCCCTATTTCGTATCACAAATATTTCACAAATGAAGAAAAATGAGGCAAAATATGTGAGTTTCAATTTTGTTCAAAAAAATAAAACATGTCCGTTTTGACGAAATCGTAGTTCTTTGGCTTTTCGTTTTTCTTTCTATGAAAGGGTGTTTGGAATCCTTTGGTGTTTTTCCATTTGTTTTGTTTATTTTGTTTCTTTTTGTAGAATGTTGATTATGTTGTTCGTTTTTCCTTTTTTCTCTTTTTCGTTTTTTTTGTAATTGGAAGAAAGAAACCTTGTAAAACCTTGTAGTACTACCCGTAGCGCCAGCCTCGGCAAGGGTAGTGCCAGCCGCGACAAGGTTCGGCCTGGGTCGGCCTAGCGGTAGTCACAGGCTCGGAATGAATAGCTGGGCCAAGTACTGCTTGTTTCATTTGGAGGATTTCGGACTTGCCAACAAGAACGGCCCAACTTTCATGGATCTGTTTCCTTCCCTACCGTGGAAATTACCAGCGTTGGATAGGTTGGTACTGACCGCCCCTACCTTCTTCCCCCAATTCAATGTACGGTTAGCTGTATTTGGGGTATTTTTCATTTTAAATAGAGCTGCAATGACCGTAAGTCCGTTGTATTCTGGGGAAGAAGGCAGGTAAATTTCTTTTCTCTTTCCTGGCATCACCCAACTATAGGGCGGGTCCGTTGACTGGAGGCTCTTTTACACCGTCAAACGTCACATAGGCAGAGGACTCGGCGTGCCGGCGAAGCTCTACGTTTGCTGTGTGCCTACCTCTATCAGGCTCTATGCGTGTGTGTGGAGAAAGGGGGGGGGGGGGGGGGGGGGGGGGGGGGGGGAGGGAGAGGGGGGGGAGGGGGGTAGAGGGGGTAAAGGGGGGCAAACTCTTATCTTTTCCAGGGTATGTGTGTGTGTGTGTGTGTGCTTGTTGTCTTGTTCCCTATACACGACACCATAAAAAGACCAACAACGGCAATAAGCCTCGAATACTTTGTGGTGCATATGGAGCGCAGGAGTGCACACGCAGCTTGGACTGAGCGAGGCATTGAATACTCGTAAGATGGTGGTGGCTTTTCGATGCCAGCTTTTGCCTGAGGTCTCCCTCGCTTCCTCCCTTTGTGCTCGCAAGCAGCGCACGCGCAGTTGAGAGTGACTCAGACCCCCTCAGTCTCCTCCTCCACCTCTTCTTACCTCGATCTCCTAATCCTCTCCTTATACTCTTCTCCTCCAACTACGATTTCGTCAAAACAGACATTTTTTATTTTTTGAACGAAATTGAAACTCAGATTTTTTGCCTTTTTTTTCATATTTTGTGTAATTTTTAGCTACGAAAAAGGGGGGTAAGGGGTAAGGGGTAAGGGGTCAGGGGTCAGGGGTCAGGGGTAAGGGGTCAGGGGTCAGGGGTAAGGGGTCAGGGGTAAGGGGTAAGGGGTAAGGGATAAGGGGTAAGGGATAAGGGGTAAAGGGGTAAGGGGTAAGATTATCAGGTAAGGGGTAAGGGGTAAGGGGGAGAGGTGTAAGAGGTAAGACCTACGATGACCTCTCGTAAATTGTACTTCTGACACGATCAGTTACATTTTATCATGAACCGCATTATTAATCCTCGTTACACTTAGAAACTCATTTTATCATATATCAGGTCTAGTTGTGATCACAACATGGTCGTTTCACTTTTGTTTGAAYATCTATAATGTAAAAGGAACAAATTCGTCTACTCCACAACAGCTACGTCGAAAGCTATCCGGCATCGTATTTTCTTCATGTCATCTGATGTGAACCTGAAAGGTGGAAGAAACCCTCTCGCCAATAGTGATGCATATGTCAGCATAAAGACACCGCACTCGTTGAAGTCGCGCTGCTTCGGAATGCCTTCCACTTCCCATATATGGTTGAAGTTAGCAGTGTCGATTTCTTTGCCTTGTTCGACCGACCTCATGTACAGAAATCTTGCAAACCCCCCTGTCACCTTCGCCGCGAGTTCACGATCCGCCGTCCCCAAATCGTAGTACTCTATTTTTCTACGCCGTAGGTCTGCCACTACGAGTGTCCAATGCTGGTTGTGCGCGACGTGGAAAGGTGCAATGATCAAATCCATGTCGCTGATCACGATCTCTGTGAACCACATTTTAACCTTTTCGTACTGGAACTTCATATCGCTATCAAATAGTTTCGAAAAAAAAAATGAGCGTAGCACTGCTATTGTAGGAATGCGCCCCTTCCCAGTTCTAACCACGTTTTTGCTCTTCGAGTCGCAATTAACGTGCTTCACACGACACTCATTGTCCAGTCGGATAAGGTTAAGATAAAAATTTACTATCTACGAGTTCAACCACTTCTTTTCCACCATTAGCAAGCTGAAATCGTTAACTGTCATCGTTAATTCTTCTTTTCTGTCTTCGTTGAACGAACTTGCTATGACGTGGCTATTCCCAAGTTCCACTCGCAACCGCGTGAGCGCCTCCATCTCTCTCTCCGTCAAATTCGTTGTTGCTAGGTGGACGGCCCATCCTTTTTTGCACCTCCGATTATCCTCCGTTGTCGTTTGTGCTGCACATGACAACGCGCCATGTCCTTACGTGAGCTAGTGGGTCGGTAGGTCCATTTCTAGTCATGTTCATTGCATTCAATTTGGAGTAGTACCACGTAGTCAGAGTTACCTTAAATGAGCGCGGTGCATATTAAGAGAGAGAGAGA